ACGAGATGAAATTACAATACGTAAACTCAGGATTTTTGAAGTACCGACTTTGATGTCTGAGAGATGCGGCCGAGAGGTACGGCTTCTTTCTGGCTGCGATCCATTTAAGTGCTTCAAATGCTTCGAAGCGTTCGTAGTGCAAAATGGACCGCCTTAGTCTCGCAAATACGTATATCCGAGACGTGAGTGTGTTTACGCCCCCATACAGCACAGACCTCCGAGAAATGTTCCAGAGACATCGAGAAGATGTCCTAAAAACATTCTCGAATGTCCTTCGGATAAAATATGGAACGATTAGCGTATAAAATATATTTTTTGTCTTATAGAAGACAATTTCGGGCTGTGAGAAAATCGAATATCGATTTTGAATCCCACGATAAAAAAAAAAAATTGCGCCGATCTGGTCGATTTGTAATCTCGAAGAGAGACAGCTGCTTCGAAACGAAACGGAAGAAACGGGCGCGGTGACGCTCGCCGAATCGGTCGAATTTCGCGATCGATCCGCATCGCGATCGGAACGCGTCCGAACGTGTCCTGCGAAAATCGAACGTGTTCGAAAAGGAATTGAATTCGCGCGCAATTTTACGACGGGAGAAAAAAAATACGTATCCTTTTTTTGTTTTTTCCCCTTCGTTCCTTCTTTTTCGGCTTAATCCGACTCCCAGAAAAGGCCACGTGATAGGTGTGTCAATGGGTTAAGTTATTTATCGATTGGCGCGCGCGTTGCCCACCTCCGAGAATTATCCCGAGGACGCCCATGGGCGCGACGATTCGATCGATCGCGACGGGAAAGTCCGACGCGTTCGAGTCGAGACAACCGAGAATGCCGTCCGCAGCATATATTGGATGGATTCGAAGCTACATCTCGAGACGCCTATCGAAAATTTTCCTCGATCCATCCAAAATCCTTCTTCGACTCCGTCCATCGCCGAAACATCGAATAAGATTTTCCTCGAAGGAGAAGGTTTTTGAGGAATTTATAGCTGCGTTTAGCCCAAGTTCAGTCGTGTTTCGACGAGTCGAATTTGTTGAACTGCGCAGGCAAGATACACCTTGCCGTTTAAGATAAATCGTTGTCTCTTCCTCGATAGTAAACATGAAGATTATTTTCGATGATGGTTCTGCAGAGCATTGAGATCTGAGCTCGGTGAAAAGTG